AATTGCATACTGCTTTCCTGATTACGCTGCATGTACATAATTTCATTTGAGCTCCACAGCTTTGAGACTGAGCTAAGAGATTTGCATGGGGGTCACACAGGCGATGCAAACTCTAGATGCTCCAGCCCAGATTTCCTCGTTCACAACTGCCTGTATTCCCTGTTATCTGCTGTCTTCCTTCAACTGTGGTGATGATAATGAGCATTTTTCCTAATTGTTTACAAGGTGCCATTGCGTTAGTTAAAATGTATCCTTTGATCAGCCCTGCGGAAGGATCATCCCCTTCCGATGAACAAGGAAACTGAACCTAGACAAATTACCATTTCCTCAGATCACCTCATTTGCATACAGCAAGCCTGGAAATGTGAACCCCAGGGTTTGGCTGCTTGACCACCGAGCTCTTGATTACTAAGTTCTTAACTGCCAGGCTTGGGCTGCTCAAAATGTCCTGTGCTTTACAAAGAATTCACATAGAATCCAGGGCTCTCTCCCCAAAGTTCTTGATTCAGCAGGCCTGGGTAATCCTGAGATCTCTGCAGTTCCCAGGGAAGGCTGGGAGAACACTTGGCCATATGATGGGTACCATTCTGCACCACCCCTTGCCAGTTGCACTGACTCACTACTAGAAACAAAGCATTTTGTAGGGTGACAAAAAAATTCAAACATGTGCTGTTCCATAGCTTGTTTTAAATGCGGTATATCCCATACATTATTCAGGACAACCGTAGGAGGAAAAGTATTAAAGCTATTGAGTGGTCCTTGTTTCTAGGTGAAATTCAGGGCCACGTCATTTTATTGCACGTTTCTTTGTAGCCACTTAGGAAAACTCTCCTACCTCCTGTGTCATTTGTGTCCTTACCGCTGGAGTGGGGACTGTCATGCCTGTCTGCACAGTGGAGCAAAGTGGTTTATCAGTTAAAGGTGGAAGTTCTTTGAGAGCGGTTGTCACAACTCCGTTCCCACTCATGTACGCTGGTGTGTTTGTCTTTAAGCGATGCGTGATTAGAACATGCTTTGCGCTTCCTGACTTAATCAGGAGAACTGGTCTACTTTACACAATTGTCCTCCCACTTGAGCTCTCAAGCCCTCCGGTCTGTCTCCCCCACCTCTAACCGATGACAGCCACCACTCCGTTCTTCATCCCCGTAATTATGTGCTGTCACAAGTGTTGTGAGCAATGCAGTGTGGACCCTTTAGGGGGTGGCTTTGGACTTAGCATTAGCATCCTCGAGGTTCTCGTATATCCGAGTAGTTTGATCCATTTCATTTATTCTAATTGTTTCCCGAGAAGTGTTCTAGGCTATGTGTGTACCGTCGTCCGTTGCCTCATTCACGCCTTGAGGGGCATCTCGGTGCTTTTCACTCTGGGGCCATTAACAGTTAAAACTGCTCTACACATTGGCGGACAGTTTTTCCATGTAAAAATAAGTCTTCATTTCTCTGGGTCTGGGATAAATGCCCAAGTACAAGTGTTGGGTCATATGAAAAGTCCATTTTTAGTTTGAGGAGGAACTGCCAAATTGTCCCCAAAGCGACCTCACCATTTTACTCTCCTACTGGCACAGTGAAAGAATTTACATTGTCTACACCTTATCAGCTGCCCTCTTAAATAGTGCCTAGTGGTGCCTCATTGTGTTTTGATTTCCATTTCTCCAGTGACTAGCCATATTCAGTATCTTCCTGTGCTCTTCTTGGCGCCTTATTCATTTTCTTTGGGGAAAATATCAGCTCACATTCTTAGCCCATGTTTACATTGGACTCCCGTTTTGTTGAGTCAGAAGTGTTCTTTATGTATTTTAGACAAAACTTCCATATCAGATTATGATTTGGGAATGTTTACTCCCTTCCCTGTAGGAGTTGGGTGTGGGTGTGTCTCCCAAGGTGCAGTTCTCAGTCCTCATATGCAGAAGTGGAAACAGGTATAACTGAGCAGGTCATGGGACAGGTGACAGACACCTAAGGCTGGGCAGATTTCTCAAACGGACGTTTTTCTCTTTCTTTTGTGCCTTTGGCACTATTTCGAGAAAGTTTAAATCCAACTTTTTTTTTAATTTTTACTAGTAAAATATTTGGGGGAACATTCCACAGGGTTCCTATGTGCCACACCTAAGTGATGGCTCTAGTTTTCTTTGCTGATATGAACCCCTTTAGAAGATTTTATATCTTACCCATTGTCCATTCTTTCGTTCTTGGGTCAATAAACCAACTACCTCTGAATAGGGTCTGTCTGAAAGTGACAGTGTCGTCAGAAGTGTTTCTTAGAAGGACAGATGAATAAATGAATGGTTCAGTTAAGTAAAAGGGCATCACACCAGGCGGAGTTTAAAGGATAACAAACAAGAAGTGCCCCCAGTTAAAACCGGTAGCTGGCCTGATTAAAGGGCATGGATATCTTTTCACTTGGAATACCTCCGTATTTCATGAACTCTTTGACCAATAGAATCCAAAGGAGAAAAACGTTTATGGGCTGAGCCATGCGAAAACTTGGAATGGAAAACATTTATCTCAGTTATCTTTTGTTGCCATGAGGAGACAACACAACCAAGGCAACTTATGAAAGTAATCTTTTAATTGGGGGCTTGCCTACAGTTTCATAGGGTAAACCCATGACCATCACAGTGTCGAACATGGCAGAAGGCAAGCAAAGCATTGGACCACTCAGGGGGTATGGGAAGGGTGAGACTGAGCCTGATGTAAAACTTTTGACACTTCAAAGCCTACCCACTCTGGCACACATCCTCCACCAAGGCCAGACCCAATTCAGTTGAGAAAATGGATGCCCAAAAGACATCTGTGTTAAGCTCATGGTCTCATAGCAGGTACTAACTGGCTCACACGGTTTCACACATCTCTTGCTATGAATGGCTTCAAGCTTCCATCATGTGGCTTCGTTTGCTACATCAGCAACTAATGCTTCTGTAGACCCCTTTAAAAGTCAACACCCCGGTGTAACTGTCGCTTGACTTTTCCCCAAGAGTTTTCTGCCCTTCTTTTCCTTCCACACACTCTAGAAATTAAATTCTGCAAGTGAAGACTTTGAAACTTGTTACCATCCAGGACACTAATAAGATTTTACATTTTTAGCAGTTTAATGATGAGGATGTAGGACTCTGTGCTGGTCCCTCTGGGGTTTCTATTCTGGGTATCTGTTAAACCTTGCAGTAGTCTGAAGTATATTCGACCTTTCTATATTAAAAAAAAAAAAAGATCAGTTTAAGTTTCACGCATAAATTTGTGTCTGTATAGTCTTTCCCTCTTCTCTACCTATTAAGTAGAATTCAGACATTATCAACATTTGAACCTGAAGATACTTGTCAGTTATTTTTCTGTGTTTGGTGAAAAAAGAGACGTCATTACCACCAAAATTTAATATTTTTATTTAGCTAAATTTGATCCTTCTTAAAAATCCTTTCCACTTTGAAGTCTATTGCAGCTTAATTAATGCAGCAAGGGCTTTTTATTTTGCTCTCAATGGAGATAATCTTAATCTATTCACAGTGACCTTTTCTTGTGCAAATTAGTTGTACATGCTTGTTTAAGCAAATGGTCCTTTTGCATGATGTCTCTTCTTAATGACGGGTTTATAATTGAAAATTGGCTTACTCCCATATGCCTAGTTTATGTGAGAATATAAAAATAGATGTGGACTTTAAAAATATGAATGTATATATCAATATCCCCCCCAAAAAAAGAAGAGGGAAGAACCCAGTGCCTCCGGGCTATGGTTAAATTAGACTATTAGAGTTGGAAAATGCTGGTGACATACGCTACTGTCAGAGCCGCACCTGTCTGCTCAGCCCTGGAAGTGCTTGAGAAATGAGAGTGATTTCATCTCGGCTGTACGATTCCCAGCCTTTATAGGACATGAGGTATCGCTAGCTCCCCAAGTTTTCTTAAACTCCTAATGAAGTCAAAACTGCACGGCTAGGGATGTGTTTGCTGTTAATCACTTTTAAAGCGGGCGTCTCGAACAATTAAATGCTTTTCGTCGGTCCAAACATTTTGCTGACAACAAGAGACAGGTGATACTTGTGGTATGATCATTTGTCTAGAGTGTTCCCCACCCCCCCGTAAAACAAAAACTGACAAACAAGCAAACACAAAACAGTACAATACTATTAAATGGCATTTGAGTAAAAAGAATAATCACCCGTTCTCTATCCCAGTTTCCAATGCTTCCCTATTAGTTTTCTTTCTTTGTTATCCCTCTTTCTCATTTGCAAGTGAGCTTTCTTCTGACCCCCACCCACCCCGCTCCACACAACCCTGCTCTCCCCCCCTCCCCCACACCCTTCCCCAGTCTTTCTGCTGAAAGTCAAAGCAACCATTCTTATACTGGAGCACTGTTTGTCAGGAGTCACTGAATGTTCCTGGTTAAATGTAGAAACTCCAGTTTGAAGAGAAAACAAATGTTGGCTTGTGCTTAGGGTGGAGGTTTCCAAAGTATCTTTTAATAGAATAGAGAACAGGAACATTTAGTGTTGCTGAGTGGCATGGCATTAAGGGAGAAGCAGATGCAGAAGGGATGCTGCTCCTGCCTATGGGAGCAAACTATTTCACCAGGGCAAAAACTACTGCATGTTGCACGCCTTAAATCCCAGCACACAGGAGGCAGAAGTGTGTGTGTGGGGGGTCTCTTAAGTTTGAGGCCATTCGGCTTCTGCATAGCAAGTTCTGAGCCAACCAGGGCTACATAATGGGACCTTACCTCTCCCCATCTGATTTTGAGGAACAGAAGCTAGGCAAGACAACTTGATATGAGAACCATTAGACCTGTCCTTTTATAAACTGTTTGCAAAAGAGATCCTTATTGCTTTATACAGCTTGATTGTTCCTATTTGTTCTCCCCATGCAACAAGCTCTCTGAGCATACATGGAAAAGGGAGGGTAGCCCTTTCCCCGGGGCTGTTGTGCAGGATAAATGGACACACCCCATGACCCTCAGCTGTCCGGTTTTCCTCTTGGATTTTCTCTTGCTGACCACGCCCCTTTTGTTCTAGGTATGATTATCGGGAAATGCTGCACAATGCCACTTTCTGTCTGGTTCCTCGTGGTCGCAGGCTTGGGTCCTTCAGATTCCTGGAGGCTTTGCAGGTAAGAGACTATGAAACTTCTCATCCTTGCATTGAGGATGGAAGCCAAAGTGTCTTCCGCCTTCTCACTCTTATAGAAGAGTCTAAAAGAAGCCATAGCTTTTGCTGCGGATGTAAAAAAAAAAAAAAGGCAAAATAAAACAAAAAACTACTTCCAAGAAAATCTGATCTAGTTTGAAGAGTCAGAATTGGGAACAAGATTGACTCCCTACCCTTGGACATAAGAGGACCGAATGGTCGCACCACCCAGGAACTGGATTCTTCAGGGACACATTTGCAAACAGAGGGTAGATGGGTAGATATAATTGGCAATCTAGCTCCTGAGTTTGAAGAGGGGACTCTTCCTCTTTTCTGGCAAGCCAGTCTCAGGTCCACCGACAGTGGGTTGTTGCTGTTATCCCCCCCCCATGAAACTGTGGGTTAGGTCCTCATCTTGGTCCTCTGTGAATTCTTCTAAACTCTTAGAGAGTGATGGGACTTACTTGCCCTGATGTTCCAGAGCCCTGCAGTTCAGAGGAAGCTCAGAAGCCTGTGTGGAGCCTCTGCTGTTCAACCCTTCTCCTGCTGCTCCTGCAGCCGGCCTTCTTGGAGGGCAGGGTGAAACATTCTCTCTCCCTCTCGTCCTTCCTTCCTGTCCTCCCAGTAATTTGCACCCTGTCTGAATCTGTGTATTTGAGGAGGGTTACTTAGCGTCTTCACCCTGCCGTGCCAACTATAAGTCCCGTCATATCCTCAGGCTAAAGATCTCCATTCTATGGCAGGACATTCTACTGTGCTCTGTGTACTTTGAGAAGCATGCCACCACCCACTAACATTCTTGCAACTTCATGGGTTTTGCAAGGAGCAGATTGCTCTCTGGGTTGGATAAAGACTTCCTTGGAAGCTACAATGTGTCTTTGGCTTATTGGTGTGCACTGATTGTGCAGACTAGAAATGGGCATGGCTGTGGTTTGCAAGGCTCCATGCTGGAGGGAACAAAGTTTTGAGTTAGGTGTTTATAGGGTAAAGGAAAGCTAAAGACTACAATAGTGAAGTTCGCCAACCTGGAAAGGCTGGGCCGTCTCCTGCTCTCCGTTAGCTCATGACATTGGGGTGAACCATGACAGAAGTGGATCTGTAGCACTTACATGGACAAATTGTTATATTCAAGGTTGATTTTTATGCTCGGATTCTATTGGTGAAAGCTTTTGTTGCATCAATAAAACTTACGCAACAAGGCCCGTCATCTCCACGGAAGTAAAGTCAGCCAAAATCAAGCATACTAGACTAGAAAAGGATAGTATCAGTCTAAGGCAAGACTTGAAGTCTTACAATCCATGCAATTTATTAATTCTGAACCACTTACTTTCTTCCTGGCCAGAGCAGTCCGGGACCCATGTAACATAAGCAATGCCAGTAATTGAGTTTGTCCTGATTCTTTTCCTGATTGGAATGGTTCATGCTGTCACTGTCCTCACACTCACGAAATCCTTCCTCTGCTCAGGCTGCCTGTGTCCCTGTGATGCTCAGCAATGGATGGGAGTTGCCATTCTCCGAAGTGATTAATTGGAACCAAGCTGCCGTCATCGGCGATGAGAGATTGTTATTACAGGTAAGGAAGGGGCTGTGGCCTTGGGCGGGACAGCAGATTATTGCTGCCCCCACCCAAACTTTCAAAGAAGATGGATCCAAAAGGTCAGCTCCATAAAAGAAATTTTATCAGGATAAAATTGCCTCTGTCGTCGTGAATATGAAGTCATTGAATATGATATTGTTCGCTTTCCAACACCAAATCTGTCCAGGTCCACAGAATATATTCTGGGAAGCAGCTGATAAAATGCCTGAGTTTTGTTCAGTGAGGAGAGGTGCATCTCCCCCCCCCCCCCCCCCCCGCCTCCCCCCCCCCCCCCCCCCCGCCCTGCTTCAGCAGCAAAATTTTTAGGTTTGGTACTCCCTCAGATCCCTTGCCTTGGTTCCTATATTTGTTTCCGTTCCTATATTTGTTTCCGGTTAACGCCAAAGCACGAACCCTAGGATTGGCTGCTGTGTCCAGTGTTCCCACTACAGTGCGGCTCTGCCCTGAGTTCTTGCAGGAGTGCTGCCCCTTGGATAAATATTCAAAAGAAGGGGCCCTAACAAAAGTGTCAGTTGCTCAAGGGAAGGCAACGCAACCTGCACAGAGAGATGGAAGGGCAACAAGAGTCCGTGAGGATTTCCCAAGCCCCCTGCCATTGTGTTGGAGGTTCACAGTAAACTGCCACACACGCTCACCACACAGTTAATGTTTTCCTTTCATGGCATTAAACACTTTATCTTTAAACCTCCACAAGCTTCTGTAGAAGTATTATCTCTAATGTTCTTGCTTTAGAAACAAAAATAATTGATATCCATAAACTTGAGCTCCTAACTGTGCATTTGATTTGTCTTCTGGGCTCCTGGTTGGTCTGCGAATGGACTGGTGAGGGATTCTAGTCATCTTCTGAAGGTCTCTGGTAATGCAGCCTCTCTTGGAGAGCCCTGTGGACTCATCAAGCCTAGGTCACGACAGTTCTAGAACATTCCTTTCATGAGGTCCTCAGGTCCGGGATCTTGCCCCTTCTGGAACCTCAGCACAAATGTGGAAGAATGTGTACTCTGAACATGATGAGCCCATTCGTTGAAGTTAGCCCATTCTGTTCTAAACAAAACATAGTTTCTTAGATGCTCGCTGAGAAAGGGGCTGGGGGGAGTCTTATGAAAAGCTAATGCTTGTAGCAGCTATTGCTTGGTGTAATTCAATAGGGACATCCTCCTAGACATAGAAAAAACCCTCACCTTGCAGAGCTAGTAGACGCCTGAGTTACTCACTCCAAGTGAGTGGTCCTTTCCCACACTGCCTCTGTCTTTCCTTTTATGTTGTTTTAATAAAACGTGCTCATTAAAGAAAACTGCGGGTATGAAAATCATTGGTCCTGTTCTCCATTTGTGCTTCATGGCACCCTTGCTGTGACAAGCTGGGGCTTTTCTTGGGGTGGGAAACTTGCCCGACACTGAAGTGTGGCTGTCCAGTGTCTATCTCCTTACCAAAGCTGATAGATAGTTCACCTTCTGAAGTCACTTTTTTTTTTTTTGCTTGTTTATTTGTTTTTCGAGACAGAGTTTGTCTGTGTAGTTTTGGAGTCTGCCCTGGAGCTCGCTTTGTAGGCCAGGCTGGCCTCAAACTTTTAAAGAGATCCGCCTGCCTCTGCCTCCCGAGCGCTGGGATTAAAGGTGTGTGCCACCAATGCCAAGCCCCAAAGTCCCTTTTTTTACTTGCCTGTAAAGATTGTATTTTTCATATCCCGGTGCCCACATTTTCTAGTGTTTTCCCCTCCTCGTCTGCAGTCTGTCTTTACACAGCTGCCTCCATAATGAACAGTGGCTGCACTGTTGTTAACAATGGTTTAAAGAGTTGGCACGGAGCCCAAGTGTGCGCTCTGGGAAATGTTTTCTGTTCTGTTACAATTTTCCATTTCCTGTTTCAGAACAGCTCTGGTGTTTTTAGTTCCATATGTTCTTGTCATCCTGTCACCGAGAAACATCCCGTGGCTTTCCTGCATCTTTTCTGGTCGGTCCCATTAGCTTTGTTACTGTACATAACCTTTTATTAGGACTCCATTGAGCTCCTCAACTTCCAAATCATCCCATCCAAATCGGAGTTAATTTATCACTTCCCCCTACCTGTCTCTGAGGACAAGCTGATTAATAACCACCAGCCACGTGCCGTTAAAAGTTGGAACTCTATCCCGCCGGTCAGTTGGCCTTGGCCTCCAGAGCACTTGGCGAAGCGCTGTGAGACAGTGCAGTCCTGCGCAGGAAAGGGTAGCGCACACAGCTCCGGAAGTCGTGAAGACTTGGTGCAGCCATGGAAGAGAGGGGGCTGGGCTCGGGGCCTGAGTTTGCGACGCTTCTTTCCTCCCTTTAGAAGCTCCATGCACTTGATTTTTCTGGAGGCCGTGCAGCGATGGTAGCTTTTGGCATTTTCCTGATGGATTAATTCTCGTGCCCCTGATAAAAACAGCCATGCCGACCTGTGTGACTTAGAGAATACCACTGACATTTAGAAGGGCATGCTTATGAAAATAGAAGATCAGCGTTTTGTTTTTTTTTTTTCTAATTTTCCCTTGGCAATCTAGGTCATTTTCTCAGTGAGTAAATAAAAATAAATTTTCCTGACTTATCAAGGATCTGTGTCATGAATGGTTTATCTCCTCTAAGGATATTTTATTTCCACTTGACCTTGAGCCTCCCAGTGTTTCAACTTTACCTGCTGCCTCCATATATTTTGCAGTATTATGATCCCTTCAAAGCACAAATTTAGCACCCAGGTTGGGATGTTGACAGAGCAAGTCAGCTTTTCCTCCCATTCTTATTGTGTGGAACTTTCATTGCTTCTTCTAGGGGAAGTCTGGAATGTAACAGTGCGCCACCACGTCCTTCCTCTCTAAGGGGAACTTAGGTATAGCATAGTCCTGTATTTGGGGTAACTTTCTATTTAATGTGGTTGGCAGAGCGTTCCTCGTCTAGCCCAGATTCCCGTGTCTGCCTGATTCATCACATAGGAGGGAGGCGAGCATGCAGAATGGGGGGAGCACACCGGGGCAGCCGATAATCAGAAAGAATCCCCCATAAGAGGATAGATTACAAACACAACACGGTCACACCTTGAGCTGTCCGTGCAGTCGGGGAACAAGTCTAGGGAACTTAGCCAGAAATCTAAGGAGTGCATCTTAGAATTAAGAAGCAGACGGTAAATAACTGCCCAGCTTTGTGTAGAATCAACTGGTCCAGCTTGAAATAGCAACTCCCTGTGTCAACAATGGTAATAGTAATAATAAACCATAAAGCAGCCTTCCCATGTTGTAGACCTTGTACTAAGCACTTACATAATCCTTTTTTCCAACCATCATATTATAAATAAGTAATTGGAGAGACCAACTAACTCATCTGAGGAAGCATCGCTAGTAAATGGTAGAACCAGAATGCCGCGTTGGTACCATTAATACCTGTACTGTAGTTGTGTCAAGCTATGCTGCTATTAAAAATAATAAAATCCTGATGATAGCTTCAGGCTGTCATGTTCAATTAGGTTCTTATTTCTTGTATAGCTAGCATAAGGATGATTCTCTTAGCCACTAAATATATAGCAGTATGAACAGCAAGGAAGGCCTTCCTTCAAAATTACCTAACTTGGTATAAAGCAGCCTATGATGAAACACAGTGTTTGGGAGATTCGGTGAGATCGGGGTAAGGGCTGAAGCCAAGAGGAGAGTGTTTTCAGGTGTACACAGATTCAGAAAAGGCTAGAGGAAGCATCTGCACATAGACATGGCTAAATCTGTTTGTACTGAACGCAGAGGCTCATGAACAGTCTCTAGAAACACACGTTTAGATACTTTATGGTTCCTAGAGTGACACTTTTTAGAAAACTTTTTTTTTTCCTTTCCCCAAAGCCTGTATCTACTTCTTGGGAAAATGTGACTGTCCATGTCAGGGCCAAAGATTTGTTTGGACTTGAGGAGGAGGCAGAACTAGAGGTACCCTCTACAGCTGACCTGCTACTATGGAATCTTAGGACTGAGCTAAGCCAATGCACAACGTTCATGCATTTGACTGCCTTCCAGGCGGCTTCTCTAGACCTGTGGTCTGTTCTGGCGTTTCTTGGGGGGACATATCTACCTAGTGGTTGGTGATTTTTAATAGACCTACTTGCTAGACACTGAAGGCTATGAAGAATAAAAGTGCAGCCCACGGGGTTGTTTTGACCAAGCACATCTCTCTGTTTTACAGTTATAATTACCGTGCTTTCTCCTTATGTTCCAGATTCCTTCTACAATCAGGTCTATTCATCAGGATAAAATCCTAGCACTTAGACAACAGACACAGTTCTTGTGGGAGGCTTATTTTTCTTCAGTTGAGAAGATTGTATTAACTACACTAGAGGTAAGTGAGACCGCGTGGCTTCTGATTTTGGATAATGTTGCTTTTGTTTCCCAACCTCTCTTTCACTCTTGGGTTGTGCGTTTGGTCAAATGGGACAAAATCAAATTTTCTGTCCTTGAACATGTGAGTGACTGCCCCACCACCACCATCTGCTTGGCCATTTCCAAGCAAATGCCATCGTTCCTGACAAATTCTCAGAGCAGAAGTGACCTGGAGAGAAGCCGTGCTCTGGACACAGAGATTGACTTTGTCTGACATAATTTTAGAGATACGTGGGTAATGACCGTCTTCCTGTCACTCAAGTGCAATGGTATCCTTTAAAGACATAGTTCCAGAGTGCCATAGAAAAGAAGATAATGACCAAGTAAGGGAAATAACCTCTACCATTCTAAAGATATGAATGGTTTAGTCACCGCCGTAAGCATATAGCATTTGAAGAGGCAGCCAGATTGACTCTGCGGACACATACAGTCTCACCAACCAGCATCCTGTGTTAGATAAGGTTATGGCAAGAGGAAAGATCATTATCATCACTGTATCCAGCTAGTATAGAAAGTGTTAGCCTTTATAAAAACAGAAACTCGGGCAGGGGAGTGGATAGTTGTCTTCAAGTTGCTTTACTCTGCATGCATGCTTCTGTGTGGGTGCGTGTGCGTGCATGCGAGCATGCATATAGCATTAGGAATTGGACATAGAGCCTTGTTCATGTTGAGAAAGCCCTCTGCCACTGAGGCATAGCCTTATTCGCTTAAATTGTCTTGTTTAAGGCAGGAGAAAAATAGAAAATCATGGAAATGATTAAAACCACAAAAAGCAGATAGCAATGGCCCAAGGCTACACGGAGCAGTGCAGAGAGCTAAGAAAAAATGGAGAAAGTTGCACACTCATGGGTTTCAGATCTGTGGGAAGGGGAGCGATCCAACAGGCTCCTGAGGTGACCCAGGTACTTACAGAATGGCCGGGACGATTTATTCCACACTTGGGGAGTCTTTCCTCTGGAAATTAATGGTCACTCCGAAGACTAATCGAGAGTTAACGCAAGACACCCAGGTAATACTGCGGAAACTGAGGTCACCTGTGGGTCCACAGGATAGTGTTCTTGCTGTGGTGAGAGTCAGAGTTAGTGCTTCTCCAAGCATAGTGGGATCGTTTCCACACGGGCCTCACCTGGGCTCCAGATCTCAGCCCTATCAACACACCACCGGGATTTCCCATGCACATGCCGGCATACGTCCTGAAGCTAGGCAAACTGAAGGCCTGTTTTGATTATTTTGAATTCCTGTTTGGTTTGGTTTTTTGGTCAGATTGAAGATTTTTTTTCCTTTAAAAATAATAAATTCCTTTCTAACCTCCTAATTCTTAGAGTGTTAGCTATAACTGAATTTCTTCTGTCTCTTGCTCAGGAAGCCCACAGATACACAAAAGAAATTGCCATAAGATTGTTGATGCTTCTGTATTTTAGAAGTTTATAGTACTTTAAATATTAACCCTTTGTCTTTTGTCCTAAACATTCCCCCTCGACTAGTCAAGTTCCTTCTGTTCTGTTTGTGTTACATAGTCTCAGTGTCTGCATTTGGAAAGAGCTGTGACTTCTCTGCTGGCTGCATGTAGGAAGAGCATTTTGCCTCATAATTTATTGTGTATGTATGTACATACATAAACAAATATTTTTAGTGCATTCTTGGTTATTGTTTTATATCAAACAGTTTAGTCAGCTGGCTTTTAATCATGATCTGTGTTAAAAGGGTAGCCCTTTTCTCCTTTTTTTTTCCCCTTTCTTGAGTTGTTTTCTCATGCTTTTAGTTAACTCTTTCCATAGTGTTCTGTTGTGCTACTTGGTGCATTTTGGGGTGTACCCTAGTCTTTTTATCCTGTCCTGCTGCTGTCCTCCGCTACCCTCGGATCGTGTTTTAATCTGTCTTCATCCTAATGCCATCCTGTAGTAAGCCTCTCCCCATCTGGTGCAGGTCACTGTGTATACTGTCTGTAATTACTGCTGTCTGCGAAGATGACTGGCAATGTATGCAGTGCCTTAGCCCGTTTTCTGCGTGCATTTTGGGCTCTATCTTTACCTATTCTTTTAGGATAGTGTCTTTGAAATGAGATTACTGAACCAAAGAGTTCAGGCATTCCCAAGGTCATAATATATTGTGGTAAATTACTATGTTTTTATCAACTTGAAAAAATATTGTTTTATTTTTATTTGATGGAAATGACAAGAAATTAGGGGACATTAAAAAAAAAGTCTAGTAAGTTGGGGAATAGATTGTCAAGATAGCAATTTTCCTCGATCTGCACATCAAAGTCTTAAAAGAGGATGACAAAAATTACTCTGAGCTTTAGTCTGAAGAATAAATGCCTTAACACAGCCTAGCATTATTGAAAAGCAGTAAGGACCATTTATTCCCGTGGTTTAATTAGCACACATTATAAAACCATCATGATTAAGACAGCTTTGATCCAGCTTTTCAAATGAGAGAAGATATGAGTTATGTTATTTGATTCCGAATAAGTTAAATTTGCTCTTATAATAGTGGGTCTATAATAAAAGTGTTGGCTGTAAAAGCCAGCTGTAGTGATGTGCACCTGTGACCCCAGTGCTGGTGGGGAAAAGGACAGGCAGATCCCGGGACTTGATACCCAGCCAGTCTCCCCGAAACTGGAAGCTCCTGGTTCATTGAGAAACCTTGTCTCAAAAACTGAGCGGTAGAGGGACTGAGGAAGATGTCCTCTGCGCTGCAAACAGGCCTCCAGGCAGGTGGGGCTCCCCACACACTCCCCACTTCACAAACAGGGAAGGTAGTAATATTGATGAGATATTGGGTAGAGCTGTGTAATTTTAAGTTAAAGAAGCTGTTGTGTGCATGATCGGGGCGTAAAACACTATTAAATGTGAGTATAAGAACCATGAAAATTTCTGTATAGCTGGAGACACCATAAAGAAAATGCAAAACTGAGGGCAAAGGTTCACAGTTAATGCGAGGTTAAGAAAAGGTGAATCTTTTTGACATGTAAACTGATAAATAAATTAGAAAAATTCTCGCGTTCCCAACTAGCCTTAAATAGAGTGAGACCTTGTCACAAACAAACAGAAATACTTGTATTTTCAGATTAGGACAATTTAGGTTTGTCTTTCCCCAAAACCTGATGAAGTACATCGTCTCACAAATATTCTGGATTAGAGTCTGAAATGAAATGAAGAATTGCTGATATTATTAAAATGAAAAATGCCGTGGGATATTTGTACACCTTGTGATGTGTATGATATATCTATATTGCTATGATTGATTTAATAAGGAGAAAAACAACCAGTAGCTTGGCAGAAGGTATGGGTGGGACTTCCAGGCTGAGAGAGGAAGTAAGAGGGACCGATGGGACATGATAAAAATAAAATAAAATAAAAAGCCACATGATAAAATTTAGATTGATAGAAATGGGTTAACTTAAGTTATAAGAACTATTTAGGAACAAGCCTAAGCTATAGGCTGAGCTTTCCTAATTAATAATATTGTCTTCATATCAGTATTTGGGAGCTTGCTGGCAGGATAGAAAAAAGATTTATTAGAGAAAAATTCCTCATTTTTTAGTAATGTGTACATACATACATATATACATATAATCATCCACAGACATACATACATACACGCACATATGTGGTGGCCAAGCAGATGTCTACAGACAACCTCCATGGACAGAGGTTTGACTTAAGTTTTTTCTACATATGGTGCAAAAGTAACATGCATTCAGTAAGTTTATATTTTGAGTGATTATCTTTGTGTCTTTCCCCAAGCCATCAATATGTGTGAAGTAATAAATGTGCTATAAAACTGGGCAGTGGCTGTGAGTTCGGTCTCCCAGTCAGCCACGCTCATGCTTTCAGTGTGCTGTGTTGCTAACTTACTGCGCTAGCTTGGGTATAGTAAATACTTTTTGGTTATAGTAAATACATTTTCAACTTATTTTATTTTCAGTCCGTGATGAACTTATTAGTATGTGACCCCCCCTTAGTCTTAAGACGCATCTACAGAATCCTTTGTGGTATTGTGTGTGTGTGTGTGTGTGTGTGTGTGATGAAGAGAACAGATGGGAATGTAAGTGTAGAGTGACTTAATTGCTAGTTAATTGTTCCTAAGGGTATACAGTTGTGCCAGATATGCGTCAGTCACTGTGAAAAGGATGTTTGTCCTCACTCAAGGAAATTAAAATAAAAATATAGTACCACTTTCCACCTATCACACGTCAGTAGTTGTCACAGGAAATCCCAGCCCTGGTGCCACCAAGGCTGCGGGAGAAAGACTCTCACATTAGAGTGTCTGGAGATTGGCTACCCACCATGAGCCCTTCTGGAAAGGCTAAAACCTTTAGAAGAAGGCATAATTTTCACCCTGCACTTGACTGTGTTGCAATTTTCCTAAAAAAGATAATGACCTAATGAAAAAAGTTGCAAACAACGTAGACCATAGTGTTTATTTTAGTTATAGCACTGCACATGCTTGGTCAGGTAGTTGGAAACAGGTTGACCAGTTGTTAACATCTGCACTGAGGAATATTGTACAGATACTGAATGCAGTAAGGGCATGTATGTATGGTGCGTTTTTAAAAAAACTGATTAGGAAGTAATTCAAACAGTGTGAACCATCTTTCATTTTGGTCAAAATGATAGAAACTCATACACGTTGAGGGAAAAACATTCTTAAGAGGCAATATAAAATGCTAGGTGTATCCTTAAAAGATTTATGTATTTTACTTTTTGTGTGTAGGAATGTTTTGCCTGTATGTATATATGTATGTATGTGGAGCACATGCATTCAGAGGCCAGTACAGGGTGTTTGATCCCCAGGAACTGGTTCAGATGATTGTGAGCTGTTATGTGGGTTCTGGGAACTGAACCTGGGTCCTCTGTAAGCACTCTAGACCTTTGAGTCCTTTGCATCCCATAGCTGGACCCTTTCTAAGCAGGAGATTATTTGAAACTGAATTTATTTTTTTCTCTTTAGTCTTTGTTAATTTGTTTCGAGGAGTCTATCTTATTTGGATGATTAATATGTTCTCTTGATGTTTCAAAATAAAGCAGTGGTTATAAGAAAAAAGACAGCATTAAATGGCACATCTCGTTGCGTACAACAGGACCAGTGTGGTAAATGGTTGCATCCACCTAGACTTTCGCAAGCTGTCTGCGAGAGACCCTCCCTGGCTGCATTCTTGTACCTTCAGGATTATAATTAAAATATAGCACACAACATTGCTAATTTGCCAGGCACGAGATCATATCTCATTAATTATCTTTCTTTTGTGGTGAGTTACTGTGTGGATCCAGCCTCTTGTCTGTTAAGTTAGCAGAACTCCATTCTCCGACAACAACAGCTGGATGTGTAACATCCATCACAGTAGAATCTTACATTGAGCTGTTTTCATCTTTGAGCCTGGAAAGGCTTTCTTCCCCCTTTGATCTAAGCCACATAATTCTTTAGCAACGTGTGTGTGTGTGTTTAAACACTAAAACCATATACTTTGTTCAAATTTATAGCAGCTGTCAAATTCCTCTATATCATTCTATCATTCCAAGATTGGATGGTAACAATCTGACCTCGCAGCCAAATTGCAAGGGAGATAATACTTGCTTTCCTGTCTTGATTTGGAGCTTGCATTGCCCTAGAACTCAGCACAAGCAGAAAGGCAGAGGAGGTAAAGGAAATGCCATCCTTATACACAAAGCAGCAGAGTGTATGTGTTCTAGAGATGAACTCAATGGTCACAAGTCACAGGCACCCACTTGCCTACCTCTCAGACACAGTGAGTCATTTTCGCCCTGCTAAGGGTGAGAATGGATGTTAACTCTAGGCAGCAGAGACTCGAGGCCCATTTGCTTAGTTTATCTACATTTAGACTCTAGATCTAGATCTTCGGTGTGAACACTAAGTGCCATGCAAGGGTCCTGAGAGGTGTCCTCCAGTGAAGGGACAGGGAGACCTGAGACATGAGGAGATTGAAAAATGACATTTCTACTTGGTGGAATGAGAGCCGAATTCTTTCAGACTTTAACAATGCAGGTTGATCTATATAAGCTTTTTAGAAATACATTTGGCCATGCATTCAGACAGCATTAATAATGTTCATACCCCAAACCCAAGTCCTAATGAGTCAATACTGAATATGGAAGCTTTTTATTTAGGGGTATTTGCATTTCTTTGCATAAAAAAATTACCCTATTTTTGGTCAATTCACAGAAATAAGCCTTGGGTACTATGGGGAAATATGTTTAAAAAAGACCTAGACTGCCTATGTCTAGAAAATGAGAATCGTTATTTCTGGTTTTTTTCTTTGTATGTTTGTTTTTCAAGGTAGGGTTTCTCCGTGTAGTCCTGGCTGTCCTGGATCTAGCTCTGTAAATAAACCAGGCTGGCATTGAAGACACGGAGGCCCTGGAAATTTTTTCTTTTGAAAGGCAAACTCAAGTCTTCAATATAAGAGTTTAGTCAGATTATCTTACATTCTGAGAGGGTTGCCATAAATATTAGTGATACGTTATCATTTCCATTACCCATGAGAGGGTGAATCTTAGAGGCCGCACATCACGTGGCCAAGGTTATGTCTGCTATGCAGTCATACTGGTGCCAGTATCTTTTTGCCAAGATCCATTTGAACAGAGTGTGAAATGCTTATTAGGATTTCAAGAGTGTTCCCTAACTGATGGTCACATTTGGAAATTTTAAAGAGAACAGTGCTGCGACTTTAAATCAAGAGGATAGTCTGTGACTGGGAAGCTTGCCTCTCCAAGACCCAAGAATAGGATGACCTACTTGTAACATCTCTGAGTTTCATGTCATTTGTTTGTAGCTTGACTTTCTAATGTTGTCCGTTGCTAATTTATTCTGTGCTTGATAGCCAAGATCATTTATGTGACCACATGCTGAAAGGCATATAAATTTAGGAAGAAAACAAAAGGAGATCTAAATGGAACACTATAAAAGGAAATTAATAGCTTAGATTTGGAAAATACAAGAGATTTAAAAAAGATGGAATCAATGTTACACAAAGAATCACTCGCTGTGTAAAACCTCTCTCCAGCTATGACATTTTGCTCACACTAGCTGTCTGGATGACAGCATTGCCTTTGTACCATAGACAGTAAACACCGGCCGCGTAGCTGGATTCCTAAAATCTTTGTCAACTCAGAAAGCTGCCTAACCATAGAAAATGGGCAGTTTTGATCTGAGTGGAAGATAAAAACGCAGATGTTACTGGGTTGAGATGATATGTTCTCCTCAATTTCTTCCCTACTTCCTTTCAGGGGGGAGGTGTAAAAAACGTACAGAGCTCGTGTGGTAACTCTACCATGGGATGAGATGGGAGAAACCTTTAATAGCTTAGCAAATCGTGGAATTCCATCCTTCCTTCCCATTTCCTTGAATGGAGACCTGTAAAAATGGTGATTTAGTTCCTCAGACTCCTAAAATTTATGGAATGATTGATTGATTGGTGATTGATTATTGGGAGTCAAACTCAGGGTTTTACATATGTTAACGCATAGCCCTCAACTAAGCCCCTAGAATTTTTTTTTTTTTGAATTTTAAAACATTTTGTGCCGGAAACATGCTATTCTGTATGAAGTTAATTATTTACCAATCATATCTTAATGAGTCGATGGTTTTATTGCAAGAGTTTGAAAGTCAGAGAGAAAGCCCTAAAGTGGACTAATCACATTCAGCTGACAAATGATTCAGGTTGGGAGAAGGCTTTGTCTCTAAATGTAGAATTTAATGATCTGCAAGGTCCCAGAGTCCAAGGCAACTAATGAACTAGCTTGACAATTATTAGTCTTCATATGCCATGGATCCTGTCCTATTATGTTGGATGTTTTGAGCAGTTGTTAGCTCGCTACTTTTTGAAGTGGAAATACAGAAAAACTTGAGCTGACCAGTATTCAAAGTCTTTCAACTGACTTTGAAAAGGGAATGAATGATGATGACAGGCAATTTAGAACTCCCTCCCAAATCAGAAGAAGAAAGCAAAGTGGAGAATGTGCCTGCCTTCCCTTGTCTTCACATCCTCCTCCGCATGGTCCACACTGATGTTGCTATGCACCCAGAACAGATCTTGCTGATAACATCTGGATCCATATATAGATGTCCCACCACCAGGGATGTGTGAACTGTTCTATAGACTGCACTTCGAAACTAGCAAGGACCATTGTTCTAAAAATTAAATATAACAGAATTTTATGATTAAAACGGGACTTGAGAAACTGTGTCAGTTCCCAGTTCCTCTCTTCCTCATATTGTCCTGGAGGGTCAATCACTGCTTTGCCTTGCAGACATTTGTATCAATAGAGAATTGGGGGAGGACCAGGTAGGGTGCGTTGTGTCTTTTTAACATCATCTCCTAACTGGGATTGTGCAAGACCTTTCCAAAATGTCATCCAGACTCACCCTCCCCGCATGCTGTTTTGTTTTCTAGATTATTCAGGACAGAATATTCAAGCACATATCACGAAACAGTTTAATATGGAACAAACATCCTGGAGGATTGTTCGTCCTACCGCAGTATTCCTCGTACCTGGGAGATTTCCCTTACTTCTATGCTAATTTAGGTAAGTGGAATGCTTGGGAGGAGGCTGCCTTTGCTACCCCGCAATGGTCATTCTTCCCAGCAGCCTGCGTTGGAGATTGTTGTCCTAACCCTTTTTACAGTGGAGACTTGCAGTCAAGATTTGTAAATACATCAGAGTATTGGGGGCAAAAAGTAAGCCTTCTTTCTCATCTTAACAGCTATGCTGGGCAAATATTTGGTAGTGTTACTTTTATTGAGAAATGTTCCTAAATTATAAATAATTTTTGAGCGTAACAACAGATTAAGTACAAACCTTAAGTGTGTGTGTGTGTGTGTGTGTGTGTGTGTGTGTGTGTAGGTAGGCATGTGTGAATGTAAGTATGCATGTGTGTATATAGGAATGCATGTTTGTATATAGGTATGCATCTGTGTATAAAGATATGCGTGTGTGTATAGGTTTGTGTGTGTGTATATAGGTGTGCAGGTGTGTAGATAGCTCCTTGATTTCTTTTCCCAATCTTGGTTCTTTTACTACATGTTTAGAAAAACCTGAATTAAGATAAAGAGAAAGAAGAAGTAACCAAGAATTTGTGAAAAGGGCAAATTTATTAATTCTTTCATGTTCCTCTCATATGCCGAGCTAAGGCAAGGCATATAGATGGTCGAAATAAAGATCACGTCAGATAGAATCTGTGCTCTCAGGCAGCTTTAATTGAATTTCAGTGGGACAAAGGATGTGAACACAGGGCCACCTCTGCAGAGGCTGGCGATGCTACCATAAGCATTGCCATAGTTGGCACCCCAGTTGTTCTCACGTTAGTGGCATCATTGGCACATTGGTGCAGGGTTGGTAGACTCTGGGAACCCTGGACAGTAAAGCATATTTCAAACTCATATGACGAGGACTCAAGAGGGTCCACTCCAGACTAATGTTCTCCAAAGCAACTTTTTTCCCTTTTAAAATTATACGTATTTAGCTTGGAAGCCGTGAGGGCTGGGTGCTGTTCTCTGACCCTTTCCTACATGCGTATCATTAAATGAAACACTGCTTGTCATACAAAACCCTCCAGTTACGGTTCAGACACATGCAAATGCAGTAGTGGGGAAAAAAAATGTGCTTCTGGAAATACCTAGTAGCAGGTAAATGACTAGAGCGAGGCGCATGGACAGACGGATATTGGGTACCTTAATACAAGGAAGATGACAAGCATCACCAAGAGAAGAGAAGAATGTCCAAAGAAGCTGGGGAGGGACACTGGGCAGTAGTTTCTAGAGGTCCCTAGGCTGGTAGTCATTACCTAGCGGCTTTCACTTTTCTCAGTTCTGACAGTACTATGCAAAATAAAGGACAGATGTGCCGGAGGGGACATTAGCTCCGGGAAGAATGGCAGGAGCCCCGAGATTTTTCTGAGTTTTGTGTCTCAGTGTGTCATTAGCTCTTCTCTTCATTCCCTTTCAGGTTTAAAGCCCCCCTCCAAATTCACTGCAGTCATCCATGCTGTGACACCCCTGGTCTCTCAGTCCCAGCCAGTGTTGAAGCTTCTCGTGGCTGCCGCCAAGTCCCAGTACTGTGCCCAGGTGAGTGCGCTTGTCCACTGCAGCGGACAGACCAGAACCTTGTTTCGGACCCGAACCATACTTGACTTTCCAGGACCCTTGCAGCAATCTAGCCAGTCACTCTAGGGATTGGCCAGGCCTTGATGCTCTCTTGCCAACAACTTAGAGACTCTCAAAAAGTGAACCCCGGCACAAGTACAGATTGCAGAACAACCATGATGTAAAGTGTACCCATACACACCACACACACACACACACATACACACAAATTTTCTAAAGAATATATAAGCCACATTACTTCTTTTTTTCTTGTTTTGTATGGATGTGTGTGTATGTGTGCATGTTTGGGGTTGGGGAGCTCTATATGTGTGTGCAGGTGCACATGTGTGTTTAGACCAGAGGTGAACCTAGGATGTTGTCCCTTAGGTACTGCCTACCCATTTTTTAAGACAGGGTCTCCCACTGGCTGGAAGCTCATTGATTAGGGCTAAGCCACCACTAGCAAGCTCCAGGGATCTGCTGTCTCTGCTGCCCCACCCAGCATGAGGATTACAAAAGCACACTACCATGCCTAGCTTTTCACATGGGTGTGGGGGGGGTCGATCTTAGGTTTTCCTGCTTGTATGTGGAGCGCTTTACTGACTGAGCCACCTCCCGTGCCCCTTTCTTCATTTATAAATATCCAAATGATAAAGTCATTCCAAAAAAAAAAAAAAAAACCCACGGGCAGGACACGGAACACTACATCTAATAACGGAAACAAATTTGCTAGTGTCAGGAGGTGTCAACTTTTGGAGAGAGCAGAGGATGACATCCATGGTAACAGTGTTTCCCAAATCAGTACCACTCCTGTAGTCTTGACACTGTTTAATTTTCTAACCTGTGATTGGTATAGACAAGATGGTTTACAAATGTGAAAAGAGTCAAATCGCAGTGAGGTGTTCATGTTTGAGCTCGCTGCCTTTCTTGGGAATCATAAAGTCATATGAAGCCAGCAACTGTTTGGAGAAATCCGAAGCAGGAACTCCTCGTGCCTCTGCCTCAGATCCTTTTATGTCGCCCACATTGCCTGGTGTAGAGCAAGTTCACAGCAGATGTTCAGATGTTTAGTAGACATTTTTATTTAACTTGATCACGGTTGCTATCGCACTCATCAACAGAAGATATCAGAAGTTAGGAAACACTTGATTAAGTTCCGGCAAACTTCAAGCTGCTGTGTGTGCGCGCGTGTGCGCACGCACATGTTTGTCTATATGTTTGCATGTATATCAGGGTTCACTCATGTGTTCAGGTGCATGTGTGCACATATGCATATGGAGGCTAGAGGATGACGTTGGGTGTCTTCCTCAATTGTTCTCCTTCATGTATGTTAAGGCAGAGTCTCTTTAACCCAGAGCTTACTGATTCAGCTGGGATCTTCAGCCTCCTAGGGGCTAGGGTTGGAGATGAACATTCACATGGGTCCTGGGCATCAAATATTTGTACAGCGAGCTCTTTCCCCACTGAGCCACCTCCCCAGCCCTTGAGATGATTTCTTTCTCCTTCAGTTCTATCCTAGTTCCTGGGAATAATTCTTTAGAATTCTTCTGCCCCTCTCTGGTTATTGAAGATTGCAGGTCTGAAGTGTGTATGGGTGTGGACTGACTTTGAAACGTAGTTTTACCAGGTCGTTTCTACAAGCAGAGCCCTTAGAAGAGGACCGGAGGAGTACCCATGCCAGCCATCTAATGATCCCTGTCCTTTTCAGATCATAGTTCTGTGGAATTGTGACAAGCCCCTACCTGCCAAACACCGCTGGCCTGCCACTGCTGTACCAGTCATCGTCATTGAAGGAGAAAGCAAGGTAGGCCTGGGAGGGGGTAACGTGAGGCCACCATGGAGACTTAGGTCTCCACAGATCATTGTCGATGCTGCTTCTAGAAGTCTCCACTTCCCCCTTAAGAGTTCTTGGGCCTGGATTATGTGTCCTAACACTGCACTCGCCTCCGAATGTCTTCAGCTTCATCAGCTTTGGACTCAGTAAAACCTGGGTTTGCATCAGACTCTGTGGCGGCTTTCTAACCTTAAGTTCGGGGAGGCTTTTTTTTTTTCTCACTCACGAAATGAGAATCACACTGCATACCACCTAGGGTTTCTGTGAGCGCTAAATGAATTCAGGGGAGTGGAATGAATTCAGCAGTGTTTCCATAAATGACGAGGGCGGAATAAGGCTGCTGCTACTCATGCACTTGCAAGGTTTGCAAGGTCCGTGTGGTTTGCTAACATGAACGCGTTAGGTCTTTCAGAATAGGGATTCTTCCTTACCCTTGTCTTCAGAAGGATGTTGCTCCTTATTTTCTCTTGATGCCTTCAGCCAAAGACTTTCCCTAGCTTGACCTCCCTGGCCTGTTACATCCATTACGGTACCCAGTCTACCCTTCTCAGAACTCAACAGCCTTCCTATCGCCCTGTGGCCTTTTAGGACTTGGTTTGCTAATGCTTTAAACCGGCATCTGATGCCATGTATCTGGCTACTGACAACCTTCTGACATTTTCTCTCTCCCTGCTTTCTTCTGAGGCCACTGGTTATAGTGATCTGGGTGGCTGTTTTGCACAGGTCCTGATCCGCTGTCTCAACTCCCACCTCTCTCAGCATCCCTACTTAGCTCTCCATCCCTCCATTCTGCTGCCTTCTTGAAATCTCACCTACTACTACCAGAGCTGGATTCACTCTCCCCCCAGGGGTTAAGTGGTGAGTTCTTCCCCAGTTGTGAAGAAATCAGTCACTACTAAGTAAAATTGAGGTTGGAGCAGCAGTGCCTTTTAAGAGATGCCTTTTGCCAATCCCAAGGAGACTGTCTTACACTAGGTAGCACACCCCAAGTCAGAAGAGCAAAATATCTATTTGTTAGGTCAAATCATTTGAAACTGGCTTCGTACCCTCCAAGTGACGATTCTATATGGTTCAAAATAATGCATTGAGAGTAGAGTGGCCCAGTGGAGAAAAAAAGAGTACATTACGTTACATATTCATTTCCCACGGAGACTATCCACTGTGTGTTGGGTACTATGTAATCCATGTAAAAGAAACAGGAGATATGACCATTGTACTTAGAGCATCCATAGGTCTGGTGTCTATCCATGTGGGTATTGGAGCTGAGTGATTAGCATATGATAAGAAAAGGTGACTGTGAGAACTGTCACAAGCCTCCTGGTCTCAGTCTTTTATGAATACATGTCACCATATACATGACTTCACAGAAGGGGCTGACACAAAAATGTCACCTGCCTGCGACATCTTATGTCCACCTCCTCAAGAGAATAGTGATTTAGAGGGATGGGTATGTTCCAGTTTTAACACCTGGAACCCTGCCTGATTTTCAACTTTGAGCTTTGGAATTCTTTGGTGTTCAGCCTCCACAGATGGCCATACTTCCTGCATTTCTTTGGGCTGTGTGGATAGGGTCTCATGTGCCTCTGGGCCATCCTGGAAGACAGGTAGCAACCACATTTTCACCCTCTGACTCACTAATTGAGACCTTTACTCTCAGCGGCGAGAAGAAATTCCCAGGAAAGCAGGGATGAAGGCGATAGTTCCTTTCTTGGGATAGCACCATGAGGAGATAGCACCTTTCATGGGATAGTACCACACTTCCCCGCCCATTTCTGTAATTCTGCTCCTGGTAATTTGTTCACCTTTCACCTCCACTTTGGCCACTAACTCCAGTGGGCTATGTGGTTAGGGTGCCTTTATCTTGACTGTCAGCACTATGGACGGTACAGTCTGTGGAAGGAAGGAAGGGTTCACATTTCAGCCTTGCTCTGGGCTGTATGGGTTAAAACACAGGCCCACTTTGAGGATTCAGTGAAATACGACGCATCAAGTACTTAACCTAGTGCCTCTTTAACATGCACCAATATTCCAACAAATAATAGCTATCATTCTGAGATGCATTGGCATATTTTGACTTAGGATACAGGTTCTAGAATCTGACTTATTTGGTTATGCGACCATAGAGGAGTATTTTAATCTCTATGCCTTAATGCATCCTCCAGTAAGTAGAAATAATCATAACACCCAGTTTAAGAGAAGTAAAAGAATCAGATGATGCTCTTCGTGCCAGGAATGGTAGGCACATACATCATAGGTTTCCCCCCAAATTTTGTGTACCATGTGTGTAATTATTTCTACAAATTCTTGTCTCTGTACTTACATGATAAACTTCATAAATCTTGGCCATTTCATTATCATGTTTATAACTTCTAAAAGAGTTGGCTGTTCACATGGTTAGCCAGTTCTCTGAACAAATAGGACAAACCCAGTTCATGCAGTATTGACCCTGTGGATGTCTGCCTTCCCCTTACGTTAGGTCATTCAAGAAGGTAACTGATCAATGTCTTGACAGTCTCTGATTTCTGCCCTAGCCACTACGGGCTCATAAACTATAGGTTTAGAAGAAGGAAGGAAGGAAGGAAGGAAGGAAGGAAGGAAGGAAGGAGGAAAGGAATGGAAGAAGTTAGAGAGAAGAAAGAAAGAAAGAAAGAAAGAAAGAAAGGAAGGAAGGAAGGAAGGAAGGAAGGAAGGAAGGAAGGAAGGAAGGAAGGAAGAAAGAAGGCAGGTAGGCAGATATTCTGTAAAGCCAGTAACTGAGCACTAGATCTCTCTTCTCCCTCTCTAGCCGGGACTTGAGAACTGATGTGCACCACATTGACGGCAGAGTTCTGTTGTGAATTGATAGGGCTTGTCTTTGCAGTTTTCCCCTGTAGGCTGAACACGGGAAAGGTCAGGGCATTGCTAAGCTGCCAGCTAATGGCTTCAGCGTTCCTCGGTGGACTTGTAAACAGCAGCAGGAGAATCGCTTCGGGCAGAGATTTCTGAGCTCTGTGTATATGGAGTTGCTGATCGCTTTGTGTTTTATTTTATTTTGAAAGATGAGAGAGAGATTTTTAAAAAGAAAAAGAAAGAAAGAAACCCTGACCCCGTTGACAGATGTAGGAGTCGTCCCTACAGCCACATACACTGTAGGTCCAGTGCTTGAGCTTTCAGATGGGTTAGCCTGGTGCTACCCATCCTTACGACTGAAAGGCCCTCCTGTAGCTCACAGGCAGGCATCTTGGATTTGAGATGAGTGGACAAGCTCAGCTTATCCGTGTAAGCAAAGCGTGGGATGCTTTGTGGATCTTGTACCTCCATGAACCTGTAAGGTGTCACCTTTTATCACCTTGGTCTCCAGTAAAACATGGCTACCCATCCTTTGCTACCCATGCCTTCAAAGTGAAATCAAGTATGTCTTGTTTCCCTGGTCTCTCTGTGTGAATTTGGAGCCTAACTTTCACAGGAATGTGGGGACGGGCATCTCACATTTATCCCTATGCCCACTTTTCAGTTCTTCCCAAACCTGAGGCTGTATTCTACCGTCTGGGAACAAACCCTCCATCCAGCTTAGGCGAAGTTCATGACCTTTCTGTTTCCCCCAATGAGATGGATTTGTTACAAAGATAGGACAAGATGATGGGTATGAATAGAGGGCCCCAAACATTCCCTGACATACACGAGCCAACCAAGTAGTGTGAGTCAGTGTGGTGCGTTCCTCACAGGAGGAAGCTATGTCCATGAGAGATGAGCTTCCCGTACCTTCATTTGTTTCACTTGCCTTCTTACCCCCATGACCACAGGTGGAAAATCATCTAAAATGTATTCTGTAACACGAATAATACAAACCCTAAGAGAGAGAGAGATTGGGGTTCAAACCAAAAACTAGAGAAGCAAAGCAGCAAAGAGAAGTCTGAGTGATCCAAGGCTGGGCGGTCGCAGACTAAGCAGTCTTCACGACTCTCTCCTCCCATTTTATATTCCCTCTAGAGCTGGGATTAAAGGCATGGGAGTCACCACCACCCGGATTTGTTTCTGTATTGATCTTGTATATCCCAGGGTGGCCTTGAGCTCACAGATACCCGTCTGACTCTGTCTCCCAAATCCTGGGAATAAAGGTGTGTGTCTCCATTGCTTGACCTCTAGTGGCTTTTGCTTTGCCTCTAGTCTTCAGGCAAGATGTATTTACTAAAGTACAAATAATATGCCATTATAGTATTCATGTGCCACCCTTATAACTTCCATAACTTTGCACCACACATGCTAACTTTTAAAAATTTAAATCATTTTTTTTTTCTCTCTCTCTCTCTCCCTCTCTCTCTTTTGGTTTTTCAAGACAGAATTTCTCTGTGTAGCTTTGGAACCTATCCTGGAATTAGCTCTTGAACTCACAGAGATCCACCTGCCTGCCTCTGCCTCTGCCTCCTGAGTTCTGGGATTAAAGGCATGCACCACCCCCGCCTGGCTATTTCTCATTCATAATGCCTTCCACTGGCATAGCAAAAATAAATGTGTGCTTGCATTCTTTATGATTTGTGCTAAAATAGGTATAAAGTCAGTACTGTAAATGTTTGCACATCTACAGTGGTCTGACCTCCCAGGGATGTGTAACCAGGATGGAATCATGTCTTGTCCTTTGTTGCTCTTGGGATACTGGTCATCTTTGGGGGCCCCTTGTGCTTGCTGAACCCCTGTCTCTACTGCCCTATTTCTGTCGCTGCCTGGCAGATTCCCACCCAGTCAGTCCTGCTAAAATCATTCACCCCGTGAAGCCTTTACCTGCTCATCAAGGCAGCTGTCTGTGCTGCCCTCGTGTCTGGCACTTTTCCTTGTGGGTGAAAGCCGGTTATCTCGCCCTCCGTTTCTACAGACTGTGAGTTCCTGAGGGTAGACCATGAATCACATTTGTTTTGGTCCTTGCTGTGACCGGTGTGGTACCTGTAGGTGTTCAATAATCACTGTCCAGATTAATCTTTGCTGGTGGGAGATGGGAGACTTCCACTGTGGCAGATGGCATGGTCGTGGAGCCAACTTCAGGATGATATGGCTGGTGGGATATTCCTGACGGTACGACTCCAACCAGCACTTCTCCTGGTCCCTAACCTCTCTCCCCACCTCTCTTACTTTCCAGGTTATGAGCAGCCGGTTCCTGCCCTATGAAAACATCATCACAGACGCTGTGCTCAGCCTTGATGAGGACACTGTGCTCTCGACGACCGAGGTAAGAGCAGTACCTTGGGGGCAGGAAGGGCCTCTCCAGGTAGGGACTGTCAATCCCGAGATGCCAGCTCCGCTCACCCCCATGCCTTGGTGGGCATTAAAAACCATTTTCCAAAACTTCCTAAAAAATTGGTTTTAATTAACCCAGTTCCTGTTAGCACCTTGCCACCACCTGGCACCCTGATGAGGGCACTTTCTCCTTTGTTTTCTCTTTTAATTAGGTCCTCACTGGCATGGCTGTTCCTCTCCCCTCCCGTCTTCCATCTCCTTTTGTTTTAAGTATTATCGCTGTGTGCAGGTGTATAGGACCCATGGGATGGAAGAGCTGGTTAGCACCATCCTGAAACCCTGTGGTCCGCAGCCAAATGTCCCCACCCTTCCCCAGTGACAGTGATGGCTGTGCCCAGTAGGCGGTCCCTGTATGGCACACTTCTGGGTTCTAAAGGTCATTTTTCCATCTTCTCTAGTATGTTCCTTGCCCCCCCCATGCATGCATGTGCATACACGCACGTGCACGCACGCATACTCACACACACACACACACACACACACACACCCATTCACAGAGAGAGAGAAGAGGGGAGGGGAGGGAGGGAGGAGGGAAGGAATAGGCAGTTTCATTTGAAGGCTGAGATAGAGACCTTGTCTCTTTTGAATGTTCAAGTATTTGGGCCAAAAAAAAAAAATAAAAGATTGCACAGAGAAGTTATATGGAGAGAGACAAAGGAGAGGGAAGATAGATGGCAGAAATCTCTGTGACTGGAATGGGTATTGATCTCTGAAGCTTTAAGCCATATATGAGATCAAAGATAGCTATATGAAAATATAGACAATCAGGATCACATTATTAGTGGTGGTTAAAGGCACAGAGGCTTAGCTAACACATCTTTCATTTCATTTTTTTTATTTTATAATTATTTTTCTTTTATTTTAGTAATTTGCACTTACCAGTATGTACTGTCTTGGACCCCAGTCTGGTTCTAGTAGGCACACTTGCTACAGCAAGAGGCTGATAACAGGCTTGGTCATAGGCGGACTACCTCAGTGTCTTCCTTGAGATTCCACAGCTGTTTCTAGATGTTACCAGAGTTGATCAGTCATTGCTTTCAAAGCTGCCTAAATACCCCAGGACAAGATGTTCTAGGTCTCACCTGGAGCAGACATGTCTGCTTAGCCTGGGTTCTATAAGTACTTGTTCAATAATTGGATGCTGAGGGTGAGCACCGTGCCAATTAGAGGCTGATTACCCATCCTCTGTGTCGCACGTCTTTTGGCAAGAGGATGGGCTACTGGACTGAAGATGGGACAAGCAGTCAAAGGGATGGCAATGGAGTGTGAGCTTTGAGACACTCCAGCCTGCATTTTTCTGCAGCTTACTGCAAAGGGAAGCTGGCATCCCAAGAGCACACTCATTCACCGAGTATTTCCTGAGAGATTTCTTTCTTCGGGTCTCTAAGCCAGGGTTATATCATCCCAGCTTGTATCTATCAAAGTCCTGGCAGCAAACAGAATTCAACTCAGATGACTCAAAGGAAAGCACTTTCAATTACTTCAGGAGGTGTGGGTGGGATGGCTGGACCCCATAAAGGATGGGAAAACACCTGGTCATGGCAGAAAGCTTTCTTACTTCATTCCTGGAAGAGCACGGGAAGGATAGGAATGCCCAGCCCGTGAGAGAGGGAGCTCTGCTGAGGAGGTCGTCCTCCCAGACTGTGTTCGTGGAGATGTGGTTATTGTCACATCATTCCAAAAGACCTTGCCTTCTCCTTTGTCCCTTTGTTTGTTTTTGTAATTTTGCTGGTGGCTACCATTGGTTTGGCCTTGCCACTCTCTAGCCAGCAAAGGAGAGCAGGTTGTACCATTCTGGGTGTGCTGGTTGGCATATCGTGGCTACAACAAAGTACTGGGGCCATACCACTTAAAGGAAAAAAGATTTATCTGGCTCAGGGTTTCAGAGGCTTTCACTGTGTCATGGCAGGAAAGATGTGGCAGATCAAAGATCACGTGGCAGCCACGGAGCTGGGAGGGACAGAGGATCTCTGAACCAGCTGGCTTCCTCTCCTCCCTCGGCTTCCACCCTATCCCAGTTCGTTGGCTCTCACATCCCACATGCACACCAAGCCTTCCCTGCTTCTCGTTAGTCCTCTCTGAAAACACTCTCTAGCAGTGTGTTCTACTAATTTCCTGGGCACCTCTAAGTCCAGTCACGATGATGGTCAAGGTTAGCCATTACACTAGTATTCCATCATCCCAGGGCAAGAATGGGCACAGGCTTTCAGAGGGCAGACCCAGGACAAGAAATACATCCCCATGGCGGAGCGAGTAGTTAAAACATCCACAGAACACACCTCGGACATCTTCTGATGACCTGGAGTCTGATTCATTTCACATCTTTCCCAGAGCACAAGGCAATTGATCTCACACCAGACTTTGTTTTTCCGTGACCCAAGCTGGTGTAACTTTCTACCACTGTGATGCATCTTTGTGCTGGAGAATTTCCTTTCAAAGGATAGCAGTTCCCACCACTCAGTGCATGCTGGGAGGAACATGTGTTCTGTGTGAAGTAATTAGAAGTCAACGTGGGTTGAAAATGATATGTAAATTTAAGAAGCAGTCTGGCTTGCTCTTGCTTGCTGATCAGTGAAGTGGTTGTATTGCCTAAAATGGTTGTGGGCAGAATTTCCCTAGTCTCTTTTTTTAGGTGAATAGATGTTGGTTCCATTGGATTCTCTCTCTCTCTCTCTCTTTCTCTCTGCTCAAGAGTTCTCAGCTTGTCTAAATGTCTCACTGAAGCACTAAGGATAGATTTTTTAACTGCACTCTTTAAAGGGCATTAGATATAGTTGGTTCGTCATTATTTACATTTATATGAGCTGCTGCAAAACCTCAAAAGAAAACAGGTGCTGATTTCTTAAGAGAAGGGGTCTAGCGTTGACCTTTGCCTTCTTTGATGTGTTAATGGTTTGAATGAAAGCAGTGTTATCAGAAGAATCACAGTTTTATCTGAACTTACTTTTGAGTTCCTTTGAAACAACTTGAAACAGCCCCGAGAGAGTAAGAAATTCATGCAACAAAAACACCCCATTGTGTTCTACACTGATTGCCAACACATGTGTCTCTTTATCAAAGAATAATAGGAAACCCCAAAGAGTGCTGACAGTCAGGTAGATTCTTTATCAGGAGGCTGCAGAATATACTATCCCATCAGTTGGCAACATTAGTTTTGAGCGCTGGGGATGGTGTAGGTTATCGTGACCTGATCTCAGGTTGCTGGCAAGTGCTTTCTATCCCCAGATGTCTTAACCTTCACAATAATGTTTTGAGATGCCTGTTCTATCACTCACTTCCCTCCCAGGTTTGGTTTGGGGCAAAGGCCATGTTAAGTCTATATATTTGTTTATTTACTCATCTATCTATCTATCTATCTATCTATCTATCTATCTATCTATCTATCTATCTATTGTCTGTTTCTCTCTCTCCCTCCCTCCCTTTCTCCCTCCCCTACCTATCTATCTATTTGGTTTTCTGAGACAGGGTTTCTCTATGTAGCCCTGGCAGCAGCCCTGGAACTCACTATGTAGACCAGGCTGGCCTCGAAATCAAAGAGATACCTACCTTTGCCTCCCAAGGGCTGGGAATAAAGGCATGTGCCAACACTGCCCAGCCAGTAAAGGTTTTTTTCTTTAGTTTAGTTTTGTGTGTGTGTGTGTGTGTGTGTGTGTGTGTGTGTGTGTGGAATTAGTTTATGTGATCATGGGGTGGCACTCTCTGTGTGTGAGCCAGGGTCGCAGGAAAGTTAGTATTGTGGTCCCAGTAGGAAAATGATGGCCTGAGAACCAGAATAGACAATGGTTACGTCACAGTCCAAAGGCAGTAGAAGCCCTTTGTGCAGAAGCTGCGGGGTGGGGGAGACCACAGGGCAGCTGAGATGGCTAAGTAAATCAGAGCTCTTGCCGTGCAAGCCTAAACACCTGTGCTTAAAACCTGGGACCCACCCTAAAAAGCCAGATGTGGTGCACATCTGTAATGCCAGCACTCCTACAGCATGATGGTACATAGACAGAAGAGTCAACCTGAAGCTTGCAGACCAGCTAGATTGGGGTTCACACAGTGGCAGAAACAAGAGACCCTTCCTCAGTGAGGTAGAGGGGAGGGTCAACCCCTGAAAATTCTCTGAGCTCCACACACGTGTGCATGTTTTAAGTTGCGCTTCCCCATCTCTGGCAACCATCGTCTTCCGCGTCAGTGATTTCCCTCAGTCAGGACGTCTCATATTTGTGGAAATGTATCCTGCATGGCCATGGCCCTTTTAGCTGGATTTCTTTTACAGAGTGTAATGTATCTGAGTTCCAGTCACGTTGTTTTAATGTCACCAGGACCCCACTCTGGCTGGCTGCTTCAAGGCCCCCCAGTCCCTTATGTCCATGGGAAGCATTAGATGAGATGCAAAGTATTATGTAAAGAGAAGCAGAGATTATTGTAGGATAGCATGAGACATTCTCAAGGCTGAGTGGAAAAGGCCTAAAGACACATTGTAACTCAGACTGTCTTTACAACAACCCTGTGAAGTAGATTCTTAGATATTCTTCAGTTCATCAAAGGTTAAACTAAGATAACCTGTTCCCCCTTTTGCTCAATAGTTTCATGGTGACTACCATGCTGGTTTTACCTAGTATCCTGCGTCTTCAGACCTGACGTGCCTGCTGTATGCCCTTCGTGATGTCTTCTCTAAGTGCCTGTTGAAAGTTACGCTCGTTGCAAAAACTTTTCCATAATGAAAATGCTCCAATTTTAGTCACTTGGGCTTTGCTATGCGCTAGTTACGATGCGTGCTGTATTTCAGTCCCTGGATGCTCAGAGGGAATCTGTTCTCATTTACAAAACAGATGCCGCTGTGCTTCCTGTGAATCAATGGTCACGTGTGCCTTTGGGGTGGGGGAAAGGAAAGCCACCACTTCTTGGTTTTTCTTAGCATGAACATACTAGGATTTCTATAGGACAAGTCAGTAATCTCCCCACCCCCGTACTAATTTTAAGTTTCTTTCATAGGACATTAAAAAAAAAACATGTATAATTACAGGGCAAAATGTCAAGCAGTCAGTTTAATTTGCTGATGAATTTGGGGAATTAATGTTTTGAAACAGCAGTGGGATTTCGCATTATGACTTAGCAGGGGGAGGTAATGTTTTGTTGACATTTGTTCGTGGTGCTGATTGCTTGCTTGGCTTTGACTTTGCCTCGCAGGTGGATTTTGCCTTCACCGTGTGGCAGAGCTTTCCCGAGAGGATTGTGGGGTATCCTGCACGCAGCCATTTCTGGGATAACTCTAAGGAGCGGTGGGGATACACATCCAAGTGGACGAACGACTACTCCATGGTGTTGACAGGAGCTGCTATCTACCACAAGTGAGGAGCCAAGGGTTCTCATGGAAACGCATTGTGTTCGATTCTGACAACTGCGTTAATAGGAACTTAGGCCAAATTTTGTTAATGACTTTAATGGAAATTAGCCAGTGTCCATTCTTGATTTTTGTTGAAGTAGCAAATGTGTGCTATGAAGCTTCTTGACTTACTGTATCTCTAGACGTTAAGGCAGAGTGGTAAAGATACACTCAGAGCTAGGTTGGGTAGCTGGATATTAAGAGTGGATACCTAAGCATCCTGTTCTACGTGATTTTGGTTCTCTGTTGAGTAAATTAGAAAAATTCCCTAACATTCGTAATCTGAAGAGCAGAGAAACATAGATACTATGGGGAAATGTGGGACAGCAAGAAAAAAACACTGATGAAGAGTCAAGTAGCAGGAGTGACAGAGATGGGGCATGTTGGAAAGTGGTCGAGATGATCTCCATCACAGAGATGGGGCAGGATGGAGAATGGTCAGGATGATTTTCATCACAGAGATGGGAGGTTCCCAGAAACAAGCAGAAGCAAGAGAAAGTTAACCAAGGCTGTGGTAGCATTGAGAATAGCAAGAATTGACACCCAGAGCAAACAGTGGAGAAACATGGAGAAGAGGGGTGTGATTGGTGACCATGGTGCAGCAGGTGAGCAGGTCCAGAAGTTGATGTTCCCTCTAGTGGGTAGGTCGGTGCATGACCTTGAACAGAGCAGACTTCAGGGCTATGTCCCTAGTATCCACTCTGGATACTGTAATGAGAATAGGCAGTAAGAATGTGAAAAAGGGAGGAAGACCTTTTAGGAAGAAGATATATATATATATATAGTGATTTATATAGAGATTTATATGGAGCCAGGGACTGAACAATGCTATAAATAGTGACCACACAGTAGGGATATTTTGAAGCTGATTCAGCATAGTGACCTAATCAGACTGTAATGACCACCAAATTTTCCAACTTGAGATCCAAAAGGATAGAGCGCCATCAACAGAGAGAATCCTACAGGTGGAGTAACTCTCTTTAAATGGAAATCTTGCCCCGGGTATGCCACAACACCCAAAAGCTATGTTGAAAAAGTTATAGGCAGAGATATAAAATGGGTAATATTTAAATTTGGTCCATAAAACCAGTAGGGAAGGTCAACTTGCCAGATGAGTGAATTTAAAATTAGCATCTCCACTTTCCCACTGAATCATTAATGGAAATCCTCCATATTTTATCCTAATGAGGAAAATGCACCAACCCTACCTTAGATTTTAAAATAGAGAATCGAGGCTCTTCTCATTTCAGAGATAAGTCTGAAAATGCCCAAGTATAAACATTGGGCTGAGTACATCTTGATCTCAGGGCTTCCCTTCCTCTTGCCACCTTTAAATAAATGAATCTGATTCATTCAAGCACTCTGTTCTCTTTGTAAGTAAATGATTTTGCCATCAGTATTAGTCGCTTTTCTCATGGCAAAACACCCAGCAAAAGCCACCTGACAAAGCAAATTTGTGTTGGCTCACAGTTTGAGAATAGTGCATCATGGTGAGGGAGGTCCTGGCGGCAGGAATGGGAGGTGTCTCTGGTTAGGAGGCAGAGAGAGATGAACGCTGGTGCTCAATGCACGTTCTTATCTTTGTTCAGTCTTGGTCCCTAGCCCATGGATAGTGCTGTCCACATTCAGGGGGCGTCTCCCCCCCCGTTTTCAACCTTTCTGGAAATATTCTTGTAGACACATCCCCAGCGGTGTGTTTCCATGGTGATTCGTAATGGCACCAAGCTGGCCCCGAGGATGGTCATCTCCGTTGTCATCACAGCGTGGTAGCGTTCAGTTTCTCTCTCCAGCTGGCCACGCCTCATAACTAGGTTTTGATTGGCAAGCAAGATCTGTGCCCCTATTGATCTCTGTGCCTTGGTTCCTCATCTGTAAAATATGGATAATAATATAATAACATCTGCCTCATAGATTTCCTATTTAGGTTAGATGAGGCATTTCTGGTTAAAGGCCTGAGAATATGATTTGGCCTGTAGTGAGTGCTGGGGAAGGGATAGCATTCAGCAGCATGCTCAGGGTTTCAGAGAGTGACAATGTGTATAGTCTACCTGTCTTCATGTAATGCTGTCCCCCCTAAACGGCTTTCCCTTGTCGTTTACAGATATTATCACTACCTGTACACCCATTACCTGCCAGCCAGCCTGAAGAACATGGTAGACCAACTGGCCAATTGTGAGGACATTCTCATGAATTTCCTGGTGTCTGCTGTGACAAAATTGCCTCCAATCAAAGTGACCCAGAAGAAGCAGTATAAGGAGACAATGATGGGACAGGTAAGACCAAAGAACTTTCTTCCCAAGGCCACACAACTGTGTATTCCTCCACTCTATCTAGCAGGGTCATAAGGGAACACAAAAATAAGCCGCATCTGAAAGCCCTGAAGGAAGGAGTGAGTGACACTTGGATAATTAAGAATATAAAGCTCTTAAGCAGCCCGCAGTGTGACATGACAGTGACATTGTCTTAGAGTTTGTCTAGTCCCTTTGGGCTATTATAACAGAAACTACATAGAGTTGAGGCTTAAGTTACAAACATGTATTTCTCATACCTGCGAGACCCGGGAATTCCAAAATTGAGGTGTCAGCAATCCTAATACCCCTAGGGAAGCCACATTGAGATTTATAGGTGACTGTCTGCTTGTCGTGTCCCCGTGTGGTAGAAGGCTCTCTGGTGTCAACCCATTCTTGAGGATTCTGCCTTCTTGAACCAGACTCCTCCAGATGCCCCCCCCCCCACTTACCTGATCCTTACATACAGGATCAGACACCAGTGTTTTCCGGGAAGACATAACATTCAGTCCGCAGAAGAGTTAAGGGTCTCCAGTGAATTTATGTCAGTTTACTGCAGATGCCTGCAGTATAGCAAGCAACCCTCTTAACAGTCTTCGGTGATTGGTCTTCAGTTGAGCAAATATCATAGTGAAATTCTAGAAGTCACTCTGTCAATTTTTAGTTCTAGAACTAGCACATGTAAGCTCTGGGCAAATCACCTTCTGAAATTCTCATGGCTCATCTTTAAAGTAAAATGGTAAAATCCTTTTCATGAAATTGATGCAGTTGTTAAAGACAGCCCAATGTCTTCTTGGGTCATAAACTTTCATGATAAAGATACCTTAATGGAAAAATCACCCAAGTCCCCCCATTTACAGGCAGAAAAACTGGGACTAGACAATTGAACTTCTTGCTCCAAGTACCCCAAGGCATTGAGACCTGAGAATGGAATCCTAGTCTCTTACCCTCTTCTGTTTTCCAGTACCCCAGTTGCAAGCGTCAGGCCTTCTCTGGCAGAGCCAATACTGCATTAATAAATGATACGTAGCTGGGGCTGGCACGCAGGTGGTAGAGTGCCTACTTAGCCTAAGGAGGCCGAGTTCCGTGCCCGACACCATATAAACTGGATATGGCAGTCCATGCTTAGAATCCCCGCACTTGGAAGGTGGGGACATGATCGGAAGTGATTCTTGACTACAGAGTGGATGTGAGCTACAAAGCAAAACCCTGCCTCTAAATAAATAAATAAAATAAATAGATAAGTAAGTAAGTACAGAGGTGGGGGTAGAGTAGGTTAAGGTAATTCCCACCAAGGCTGCAGACCTGAGTTCCCTCCGTGTACCTACATGATGGGAGGAAAACAACCAACTCCCACAGCGTCCTTCTGACCTCTATATATGCGTGCTGTGGCAAGTACATGCTCCAGGGCTCCATCCCATGCCACATACACACACATAAGTAAATAAACAAACAGATGTGATTTTTAAAAATAAATGGAAAGCTGAAATCCAGCTATTACTTCTACCCAGGGTAAATCATGGTGTACCACGCATGATTAAAATGAATTCTCAATGTGAATGTCATGGGGCATAAGTGGCTCCTGCCTGTTAGCTCAACGGTAGACGGAGACAGAAGTTCTAGGACATGAGGGTTCTAGACCAGCCCCAGCTACAGAGCGCTCAAAGCTCAGAATAGTATATCTTCAAAAAATAAACAAAACAAAACAAATGCCACCACCGCCAAAATCGAGAGCATGATTGTGTCAATTCAGTGGCTCGAGGTTTGTAATGGGTGCTGGCTTTAAATCTCAATTTTGCAAAGGGAACTTTAGCAAGCTTTTATGGCAGGCACCCTTCTTGTCTGGGTTTTTCCTTATTCAATAAGTGTAGCAAGAGAAAAAAAAAAACAATATTAGCAGGATTTTCAGTTATATTGGTGTCCCTAAGTGTTTCCTGAGAACACACACGTCCAGACAGTATTAGAAGTCCTGATTTTGGAGAAATACCCATTCTTTCTGAGCAGAGACTACTAGGAAAGATCTGCCCTCCTTTAACTACTGAAATAACAGGCAGGGGCATTTGCAAGAATTTCCAATCGTTAAGACCAAAACACTTCGAATCCAAGCAGCTAGCATTGCCGACTGCATACCCAGATGTTTCGTCGCAGAACACACCAGCCCACAGAGTCGTAACTTTCTCTTCAGACTGTTTGCTCCGAGACAGCTTGAGACTCCTCTGAAGCTGTGCACTCTCCCAAGGTGGACTGCCGCTAGCGTGTGCCATCTTAGCGGTGGCTTCTGTGACCTTGCCATACATTTGCCTGGTTGCACTTAATGCGCATGTCCAGTAACATATTTTAGAGACGGTTCCGTGTACCCAGGTAGTATAGTGTATTCGAGCCCTTCTTTCTGTCATGCTCATTATTTTATTAATGTTTGTGTCCTTGGAAAAAATGAGTATTGTGTTTAAGCTGATGCTGTTATTAGATTGGAAACGTTTTTTGTTTGTTTGCTTTGCTTTGTTTTTAGTATTTGTTGGTTACATTGGAATCAATCCAAATGAACCCAAGTTCTTGACAGTTTTTCCATTTGCATATGTGCACATCTGCCGGACTTGGGACTGGCCCTTTGGAGTGAGCGGACCAATCCGAAAGGGCCACAAGTGCCATTAACTTTAGAACAGTGATGCTCAGCCTTCCTGATGCTGCGACCCGTTAATACAATTCCTCGGGTTGTGGTGACCCACAGCCAGAAAGTTATTTGTTCCGGCTTTATAACTGTAATTTGCTACTATTAGGAATCATTATGTAAATCTCTGTGTTTTCCAATGATCTTAGGCAGCCCCTGTGAAGGGGTCATTCGACATCCCCCCAAAGGGACTGCAACACACATGTAGGGAGCTCCTGCCTTGAAGACTGTCTCCTCTATCGGGAACTCAGTCAGCTTTCTTAATTCTTTGCCTTTCTGGGACTGGTGAAGGTGATTTCTCCCAGCATAGATGCTAGAAACCAGAACCTTCCTTCTGCCTCCGTCTAGACTCCAGCAGATAACTGCAACTTCCTCGGACCGGCTGTGACTTGGGGAGCCCCTCCACCTCATTGCTGGGAGGCTCCGAAGTGCTTCCTGGAAACACTTCACAAACCGTGTTTTCATACTCCGCTGCTCAGAGCTAACTTGACATTTGTATTTATCACGTTGTTTTCAAGCATGTTGATACTTGTGATTCTAAAGTGACTCTGAGTGCTTCTTTCTCTAGAAGGCACTTTTCAGTAAAGTGTGTTTCTAAATACACATGCACGCGTGCACACACACGTATTAAACAGTTGCTTATTTATGTTTATGGTATGTGTGTATGTATGTGTTTTATCCCATAATTGAACAACTTTTTTTCTTTGTTCACAAAACATACTTGTAAAATAAAATCTTTAGTTGTTCTCTTTTAAATTTTCAGCACATCCTTTGGGATTTTCTCTTAGTATCAATCATTTATGTGGTCTAAATATTTGTGACCAGCTTTAGGGGCAACATAATTAAAAAAGATGGTAGCCATTTTATTTTTAACTTCAATAACTTTTTTCTGAGTGAGCACCTGATGTTTAAAACAATAATCTTAGGGGTTTAGTAGCATTGAAAAGACAGACAATTGTTAAGTTATGAACAGAATTTTAGGATTTTTATGTTCAGTCATGCTTTGTAGGCATAGACTGTGTGTCATTGGATCTGAGACCCTCTCATACCTCAGGGGTCATCTCAGTAGAGAAGTCTATAAGGGAGCGTGGGTTCTTGTATGCCGTACAGCACTAGCCCAAGTCCAGTGTAAGAGCTTCATTTTGTTCTTCAATTAGACCTAGGTCTTCTTAACAAGCCGTTCGAGGGGAATTTAGTAAAGGCGGAAGGTTAGGTGCATAGGAGTGAACCCAGAGTGGGAGTTCTATCAAGTCTTGTCTCCACATCAACCATGTTAACAACAGGACTTATAGGGCTGGAGAGATGTCTCCGCTGTTGAGACTGCTGCTTCCCTTGCACAGGACCAGAGATTAGTTCCGGAATCTATGTCAAATGACTTAGATAGAGCCTTGTGTCACTCCATCTCCATAGCATCTCATGCTGTCTTCTGGCACCCGCACACATACACACACACACACACACCCATACTCATACACATAGTCTCACACACGCAAACAAAAATAAATTTGTAGTTAAGGAAGTTTCATGGAAGGATTTAGAAAACTATCTTAGAAGCAGTGAGTTCATTGTGAGCCCAACCATCCAGCTCCAGAGACCAAAAGGAATGTGCTGTGTAGTGACCATAGTAGTTGAGGGTCCGTTGGTAAAGATCCATCATTCTTTTACATGGGCATTAGTCGGCTCAGAAAGCTTCAGAGGATTAGGTATGTTTGGACACTGGTGGACACATCTCAAGACCACTTCAGTCAGAGGTAAGTCAGTGTGCCTGAACTGTGCCTTCTGCCGGCCCTGCAGATGGACAAGCGTGGCAGCCAGGCCCCACATTCTGCTGCTGGCCTGTACGGAGATCCTGCACCGCACTGTGTCCTCTCTCACTGGCTCCCTTGTTTGTCTCCCTCTCCACAGACTTCCCGGGCTTCCCGCTGGGCTGACCCTGACCACTTTGCCCAGCGACAGAGCTGCATGAACACGTTTGCCAGCTGGTTTGGCTACATGCCGCTGATCCACTCTCAGATGAGGCTAGACCCAGTCCTCTTTAAAGACCAGGTCTCCATTCTGAGGAAGAAATACAGAGACATTGAACGGCTTTGAGAAAATCCCACTGCGTGGGGGAGGGGAAGAAGATGGGACTGAGTCCAGCTGCTCTCTCTTCCCAGTGCAGATTCGTTCATCGAGGGAGCCAGACTGTGCCAAGTATCAAAAAAAAAAAAAAAAAAAAAAAAAAAAAAACAAACCTTAGATGAACACAATGACAAGAGTAGCAAAGGCCAGTCAGCTGGAATCCTGGCTCCTGGGACTGCACCAGACTGCTCCATTCACCTCACTGGCTTCTGTGTCCCACGACTAGGTTGTGTACAGTTTAATTATGGAACATTAAATAATTATTTTTGAAATGATTGCTATGCAGGTTTAAACTTTTTTAATGATCAAAACTATTAAAAACCAGAGTTCTTTCTTTAATCAAAATTGTGTTGGTTGTGAATGTTTCCAAGCTGCTGCTCCCTTCGCTCTGGACATCCTTTGCCCCGGGTCCCCCAGGCTTTCGTGCAGTGACAGACACACAGATGTCATGGGAGCACAATCAGTTTATTGGTCATAGTGTCAGCAGAGAACTGGGCATACACTAAGATGGGGTCATAGTCTAATTTTACCAGTGCAAATTGTATGCTCAGATCCCCCTTGGTCTCTTAAAATATTGCTGCATGAGAGAAAGTATTGACTCCAGGTAGGCAGTCCTAACTAAAAGCTTTTTGTCAGAGATGCTATAAAGTATCATAATCTTTTTACGTGTGTGTGGGGATTAGTATCGAGCAAAGCCTAGTAGATTTCAGAATTGCACAAGGCACCAAGCAACCCACCAGCATGTTGGTGATGGAAATAGTTCTCCCACAGCTGAAACCCAATACTTCGTAATGGTTGACATGTTTGTTCAACCACTCACCCAGATATCAGATGATCTGGGGAACCCTATGCTTTAGAGGCCCGGGGGCGGGGGATGAGTTCATATTATTTATAAGACAAGCAAACGGTTTAATGTTTGTGAAAAAGTCAAGTTGCAAAATCTTCTGTTGAGAAAAAAGTGATTGTGTGTAGCTCCACATCATCTAACAGGAGGATGCTGGGAAGTCACTGAGGGTGTGCCTTGCCATGGAACTCTTATCCCGGTTTCGGTTAAGCATTGTTTTAAGCAAAAATTTGGCAATCAAATTAATCAGAAACAAATGTGTGAAGAAGACTTCTTTGGGTTATGAATCATGGAAGGAAATTTAGTTGTGCTTCATGTTAAAAAAAAATACTTTGACCCCCCCCACAAAGGCGGTTTTCAGTTTGTGATGCTGGAGCATTAAGAACACACACACATACAATGCCAAGAAGCAGCTCCCCACGAAACATGGAGGCTTCTGGCATTAAAAGTCTGTTTCTGCTTGAAAGAGCCCAAACAGGATGAGGTGTAGCTAGATGATTAGGGAACTACAGAGTAATCCAAGGGCACTTTAGTTTCATTTTCCTCCACGAACCCTCAAACGTTTTATGCATTCACTGCCGATTTCCTCTTAGAAACATTCATCTGGCCCAGGTCAGTACACACCAGATAAATCCGGTGGCCTCAAATCCATCCTTTCTTTGTAGACATAAGGAGAGAAAGGAACCAGCCTATTATCTTGGAGGCGGTGCTGTGCACTAGAATGGATGTAGGTGTTTGCTGAGGTCCTGCGCAGTGACTCCATTGCCTGCCCAGCCACAGAGCAGGGACCAGAGCCCACACGTGCCATGTTGTGAGCCGTGTGTTGGCTCAGAAGTCCACTCAGAGGGGACTTTTCTGCAACTTTGTGGCCCACAAACACCTCTGTACACAACTCACTCATCATGTGTGACCCATCCTTAGCCTTCTTTGAAACATGGGGCGTCCCTTAAGTAGATGTGATGTATCTTTAAGTATTTCTCCATATGTAATTCTGAGGTTCACGGTGCTTATATTTGTGTCTGTCAATGAAATGTTCCCCAGCTACTTCCTATTCTGCAATTCTTAGCATGTTAAAGGGTGAACAGCGAATCACATTTGCATATTGGTATTTAAAGTGGGGGACTTTTCAGAACGGCAGTATGACGCCTGTCTTTCTCCTTTCCAAACATGGATGTAACATTTTTGTTCAGCCACCACAAGCTAACCTGAAACTGAAGTTGTCGCCTTGGCTCGCAAAGCAGCGTCCCTCATTGTAGCAGTCACTCCCAAGAGTGGATTCGGGGAACTGCCTTTCCAGGTGTACCTGTGACAACGCTCACAGGGCACACCGTCCCCACAATTAACATGTGCCGTAATTACAATCGAGAACAGGGACTGGCACCCTTTTCATCCCCTTTAAATCTCCACGGTTGCGTTTTCTGTCACTCTCCTGAGTAATTCTCTCTGGGATGCCAGCTAGCATGTTCTTCTCTCATTTGGAAGCTACAGCTGGGGATTGAACAATGCTAAGCAAATCAGTGAGGCCCAACAGCAAGATGTAATTTTAATTCTCCGAGGAAAGAGTTGTAGATTGCATTGCAGCAAGTTGACAAATCACGGCCATTGCTGTAGGATGTCAGGAGTTATCTCTCAGCTGGCTCTAATGATAACCAGGGGTCCCTAAGTGGGCCAACATGTGCTGAGTTGGTGAGATGCCAAGGGCAGAGAGTATAGCACAAACCGTCTAATGAATTGCATGAAGTGATTCCATAGAGGACTCAGCCACAACCCTACATTAGCACCTGTGTTCTTCCAAATAAGTGTTTTAAAAGTTGACTGTGTTTATATGAAAAGACTGAGATAGCCATCAAGGTTTACATGTACATTATGTTTTAAGCATATCACTTTTGTTGGCAAAATGACAAAAATGACCCAAAGTTGAGACTGTAGAGAAAAAAAAAATTCATGCAATAATCCTTGTAGTCATGTCACAAACCACAACACAGCGAGGCGGTCGTACCAAGGTATGTGGGCCCATGTCTCAGAGATGCTGCTGCCGAAGAAAGGGAAATCTCCTACCTGGATTCTAATGTGCATTACAGTTTAACTTCTTCCAAATGGTGCTCACAGAAGGACCAATCCCAGCGGAGTCCTTCAGTTTCCCTTTTGAAAATGATTTTTGCTTTTCATTACAGTAGGCTATGTTAGCCTTTATTCGGGTGGTTCTCAAAGTCCTGGTGACTTGAAGGAATATTGTGCCGGTGGCCTTTCATAAAGGCTGCTGAACTTTAATTTAATCAGGGGTGAGATGAGTGACTTGAGCAGACCTATGTACTATATATAAAATAAAATAGGGTGCTTGATTTAACAACTAATGAATAATGTTGACTCAGACTCGTTGAAAGATGGAGAGAAGGCAGAAAGACTCATCTGGGGAGAAGCTGAATGAGACTCATGCTCGACAAGATGAGATAGGATTGCTAGTCCCAGAGCGAGCTTCCTCCACCTGGAAATACCAAATGTTCCTAGGGGTCTCCGAAAGCTCCAACTTTAAGGGTATCAGCTCTTGCTATGAACTCTCAGATAAAACTGTTCCTGCCTTCTAATCGTTGCTACCGTCGGCATATAGCCAGTGCATCGGTTCTGTACTTCTTAAATTCATTTACCTGCTTTCTATTTATGACGACTACGGGCAAGGGCTTTGAAATGCTTCTGTCATTGTTGACTGACTAGATGCCACCAACCAAGTCCTTTTGTTGCCACCAGCTTTTCTCTTTTCAATCGTGATGGGAATAAAGTTGGTCTGGGTTAAGTTCTCAGTGAATAAACATGAATATTGAACTGCATTCAACTCATCTCACTTAGTATTCGGAATTCGTCATGTGGAGATGAAATTATTTCTAGACTCAAGGTTTCTAGTTTTAAAAGAGGTGAGGTGGGACAGAGCATCCTAAGAGGGTTCTACCCCATCAATTCCGTAATAATATCCAGAAGCTCTGGATAGAGGGTCTGTTGATGTCGATAGTGAAAGTGGTTTCTGGCTGGAAGCCATCTCTCTTCTTTGTTCTTTCCCAAAAACAAAGGATGCTGTTTTACTTTACTTGGCTGGAACTATAGTTGTCAGTATCTTAGAGTACCAATATTTTCTATACCAAGAGCATGAATGAGATACCCCAAATGGCCCTCTTCTACCCCCTACCCCCCAAAAATAGGTGGGAAGGCAACCATGAGCAAGCTGAACCCTGGGGAAGGCAGTCTCACCCTGGTTTAAAACTGAGTCAAGCTAGCCTCTGAGTCATGCTACTTTTGTAATGATTTGCGTTTCAGGCCTCAAAGGTCATTTGATTTCTGCCACAGCGTTCTGTTCTACAGGGACACATTTCTCTCATTTCAGTTGTAATTATTCCTAAAATTATGGTCATGCAAATGACCCGATTACCATGTAATGAACTTGTATATTAATGCTGCGGGGAAAAAAATGTATAGGGTTTGTTGAGGGTTAGAAAAAAAGAAAGACCTGGAAACTGGAACTGTTTTAGAGGACAAACTGTAACAGAAACGTAACCCTTATTTTGTATACGATGCGCACTTGGGACAGTTCCTCATATGTTGCCCATGTTTTTGTTGTGTCAACACAGGTCTTTTCTGGAGTGTTTTCCCCCTTTGTTACAGAGTTTTAATGGTTTAGTGCAATGGAGTCCTAAAGTGCGTGAGAGAGTGCAAGAAATTTCAAAGCCATAGATCTTGATTTACTTCACTGACCTGTGTAACTTTTTGTCTGGGTTTTGCCATCCAAGATAGATTGTTTTATAGAGTATCACCAAAGACTTTTTCCTTCAGATTTATAGAAGAAAAAAAAGAGAAATTATTAATAAATGACATGACTTTTCATCTGTGTGATTCTTGTTCCTTCTTTTCTCTTGGGCGCAGAAGGATTCTGGTTCCAGAAAGAAGGGATGTTTGGGGAACCCTAAAGCTTCCGTGAGGGTTCTGGGGAAGTCAGGCAGATGAGGTTCTATTGAGTATGCTGGGTGGAGGCCTGACTCTCACAGCCTGGCTGCAGCCCAGCACCCCATAACAGCCATCTTCCGGGCCAGATGCAGCTGGTCCTGTTGGAAGCCGGCCAGAATGAATGTGGTGGTGTGCCCAGTTCACAGCGTTCGTTCCTCTACATGGATGCTGGGACAAAGTGGCAGGGATGGGCCCCCGAGCATCTGGAGCCTGACAGCTGTGGCCATTACCCCCCTTGGTTCCAACTACTGCCTGGAGCTTATGAATTACTGGCTGGC